TATATATGCTGATAAGCCTGAGTGGTCTGTTGACTGACCTTTATATGTATTCAAATAATTGTTATGGGCAGGTTACAATATAAAAATGTTTGTTATAATCATGTCTTGTGATTATTTGACAGGAGATTTACTCTTAAACTGTAAGTGTATTTAATTTAGTTATGCTACGAATGATAGTTTAGTTATGATGTAAATACAATAAAAATTAAACCAAGATTTAGAATAATTATCATTTTGATCCATACATTGGTAATGTCTGACTGGGCCTCGTGCCACTTTATGTTCAACAAATTGGGCCCCGAGGTCAAAAAGGTTAAGAACCCCTGCTCTAAAGTATTCATTAGAGTGAATGAGTGTGAATGTTTTCTTGTCCCTATACAGCCTTGCAACCTGTCCAGGGTGTACGCCTGCCTTTTCCGCACCACTACTGCCAGAAATAGACACCAGCTTCATGCAACCCAGAAAGGAAAAGCGTGAAAAGAAAATGAAAGGATGAATGACAGATAAGTGTGAGCTGCAGCCGTTCATGAGTGGTAAAGTCAAAGGAACTCTGAATGAAGGTACTGACCGATCTGAGAGTTGGAGTTGAAAGACTTGACATGCATGATGTGGCTGATTCCTCTCCGGATAATGACCAGTGCCCCGCCGTCAGTCTTACGCACACGCACAATGCCGCCCAGGCGCCAGTCAGTGAAATACGCATAGCCTTCATGTGAGAGAAGTAATAAAAACGTTATCTCTCATCGCCTCCTCAGAACTGCAATTGCTCTTTCGGCATGGCCATGATCAAACAGGAAAAACAGACCAGTCAGCACTTCTTTTTAGAATAAATGACCCAGAACTGCCTATTGAGAAGCTTTATTGTAAAATACAAGATTTACCTTCAAAGATGGTGAGGCCAAATGGATGGGAGATCTGGGTTATTCGATCCAAAGTCAGCCTGTTTTGTCCATGAAAATTGCTGTGCTCAATTTTGTCAAAGAATGCATCCACCCAGTAGAGACGCATTGAGCTGAGCGGAAAGCAAGAAGAACACAAGAATAGGAGATCAATGCAAGCATAGTAGAGATCTATTTCCAAAAAAAAGTAATTCCTATAAAAGGAACAATTTGTGGCTAAAATAGAGTAAAATCTTTAGCAAACTGATGAGACAGTAAATGTTTATTGGAGGAACTATTATGCTGGACACTTGGATGTGAGACATTTGGCTCACCTCCAGTCAATGGCTAAGCCATTTGGCCAGCCAAGAGTAGTGTTGACAATAGACACAGCATGTGACCCGTCGCCCCAAGCCCTCATAATCTTCGCAGGCCGGTACCAATCAGTCCAAAAAATATACCTGAAAAAGCAAAGCGAAGACGAAGGCTCAATGGTATCAATCATTCCAGTATGTCCTTGAATGCTGCCAAACATTTACCTGATTTGTATTCTAGTTTACTTTGGAAACACTCACAATGTAGGATTTTTCCATTTAAGCCAACTTCTTAGTGCTAACTACAATACTGCCCTTCATACTGAGCTAATCTCAGCTGTTGGAAACAGAGACCTTATGACTTTGAGACAACAGGAAATAACAGCTTGCTCTAAAAAATAATTAATTTTATCAGGGGGAGCTTTTTATGGGGGAATTTATATTTGGGTAACTACGTTACTGAACATATGAGGGATTTTAAATTGATTAAACAGGAAAAATAAATGATCTTATTGAATAAAGTTGAATAAATTTAAATTGAAATTAGACCTACATGTGAGTTAAACCAGTTTAAAAACATTTTAGGCAGCATCCTACATAAATTCCCTCCTTCTTCCTTACGTAATTTCTCTCTGGGATCAATAAAGTATTTTTGAATTGAACTGAATTGAATCAGCTTAATGCAAACCAATAATGTACATTTTTTTTTGTCTTGTTTCATAACTAAAACCTGTATTACAAAACCTTCTTGAACATGTAGTGACAGTAACAAAATTCTCACAGTTCTTTGGTGATAGCACTAATTTACCCAATTAGAGGGTGCACCACAATGGCCCTTGGGTTGTTCAGGTTACGTATAATGGCCCTCCTGGATTTATCAGCAAGCCTCATGACAGATATGCTCCTGTATCGAGGGTCAGTCCAGTACAGGTTTTTTGAAATCCAGTCGTAAGCCAGGTCCTCCACTCCGTCCACTCTGTTGGCTGCCAGGATCTCCCTGCCTGTACAGATCAAAGCCGTCAGAGCACCGTTTGACTTGGAGATGAAAGAGGAATACATTTGAATAAATAGGCTGTCAGCTTGCATTTTCCTCTTGTGAACCGGACAGACAAAAACTAGAGCAACTCCAAAACCAACACTCCCATTCAGAGCAGAGGTTTCATTTTATGGAGGCTACTTCCACTGCTATGGTGGCAGCTCAGAAATCAAAGATCAAAAAATGCTTGGTAAAACACTATAAATTATTTTTACTAGCTATCCATGCACATTTGCCTTGCTTTGCTACCAGCTGGCCCCATCATTCACGCTCTAAACTCCTTGTAAGCTTGTACAAATAGTATATTCAGCGTAATGTTGACCCTTCTATTAAAAGACATTCACCTGTTCCATCCACTTTCTGTTTGTAGATTATATCTTTTGCTGTGTCTGAGAAGAAGATGCTGTCATCCTCAGCGCTAAAATCCACTCCGACAAAATAGGAGGGCGATCCAGTGACGGGCAGGATGATGTCCTCCTGAGAGGAGAGGTTAAAGGGGATTCCTCTCACAGCCAACTGGCTGGAGAACAACAGAAACTGCCTCACAGCTGTGCCAAAGAATTTAGAAATAAAGATTAAAAAATATCCAGTTGTGCCCAACAACTTCAAAACATGAAAAAAGATAGCAAACAACAACTTTCCTTTGTTTAACAGGGAAACCTTCACTTACCCATACATCGTTTGCCATCACTTTGTATATCATAACCCATGCGACATTTGCAGCGGTATCCGAGGCCTCCATTATCACTCCTGTGGCTTAAAACACAAATTTGCTCACATCCACCTCTGTCTGAACCGCAGGGGTTTGGCACTGGAGGCATAAAAAATGATCTAAGTTATTAGAAATTACATGAATGTTTAAATGATCTACTTTAAAAACTGCAGTTACAAACTCCAGACAAAKTTCTGCTATTTTGTTACAAATTTCATAAAAGAATTGTGTGTTGAATCTGGAGGACTCAATGATGGGCTTACCCTGTGGCTGTTTCAGCTGGTGTATCACTGCCACTCCATGTGGCGTCTGAGATGTTGAGTAAATCACCTGAGGATGGCTGTCAGTGAACTTGTTTGCTTTTATCACAGCCATCTTGGTCCAGTCCGTGAAATAGACATTGTGCTCAAACAAACTGATGCTAAATGGGTGTGGGACCAAAGCACCTCCATGGACAACAGTTTTTCTGTTTGACAAAGTCATGACAATGAATATGATCAAAGCTTTTAGCATGTGTCTTCCATAGAGTTCGGGAAAATGAGAATTTATTTCAAACATTTTAGGATGCAAAACTGTAGGAGGATAAAACCAGAAACTTACCTATGCAGACCATCGTAAGTTGCAGTTTCAATGTAGTCGTAGCGACTGTCAACCCAGTAGAGGCGCTTGGCCTCTATATCAAGGGTGATGCCAGCAGGCCAGCCTAGTTTACTGCCAATAATCCCATAGCGGTTGGTTCCATCCATGAAGGCCCGTTCAAGGCCTGGTTGTCCATTTGCTGCTTCCCAGTCTGAGAAGAACATATACCTGTGAGAAGAGAAGAACAGGTTAAATTATAAGGTTAGACTACAGCGGGGTAACAAAACGTACTGTAGATCTAAACCTAAGAGAATATGTATGTCCAAGAGAAAGGGATCCTTAAAGTAAGGATCCCTTTCTCTTGGACATATTCTCTTAGGTTTAGACCTATATATATA